AGTGATTTGGTGGGGGAAGTGATGAAAGAAACAGAAAACCTAGGAGAGAGCTGACTAGTTGAAGTGAGGTCTCTGAGAGTGTGGCAGACCCCAGAGTTCTTGGTGTGTGGTGGGCAATGGACACCACTCTTCCCCTTTTGAGAAATCCTGGCTGACGGGTGGGCACTGAATGAAGTAGTCACCCCTGCCCTTCCCACATAATCATGCTGTGTGAGCCCCAATACACTTTCCTTTTAGCCCAGACTAGTTCCTGTTGGGTTTATGTCTCTTGAAATCATGTGAATCCTGCTTGAAGACGTCTGTTAACCAGGTGATATTTACAATATTGTCCCAGCCACTGGTCATATCAGCATGGACTCCAGCAGAAAACCATCGAGCCAAAATAGTGTACAGCTGCTCAGTACCAGCCCTGGTAACAGTTGAGCAGCCTGCTGGGAGGAGGGGAGGCAGGGCCTGTGGAGGGCATGTAGAGGGCTCTTCTGCTCGTTCCGGCACAGCCTACTGACCCAAAGCCTGCCCTCCTCCATCTGCCTGGACTTGATCACACAGAAACACCAAAAAGTAGCTTGTTCGAGGAGCCAGGGTCTCTTCCCCAAACACGGCTCCTCTCATCAGAAATTCATCAGATTCTGTCATTGCTTAATTTATCCAGGCTTCTTTTAAAACTACTGAAATCAGAGTTTATTGCCCCGTGGAGTTCCTTAGTTCGTACAGAAGGGACTGAGTGCCTCCACTGACACATACTCACCTCCTGCAAGCTTCCAGAGGTGGTCTGTTGTGTCCCTGCAGACATCCTGAATGTGGTACAAAACTTGGCTCCCGTCTTGGAGCCGCGGTGTCCTTGCTTGCTTGGATCCCGAGGTCCTCTTTAATGTGACTCCACCTGACCTTTCCTCCTTTCACTCATCTGAATATCCAGCATCCCTTGGGTCCAGTTCAAGTCCCTCCTCCTCCAAGAAGCACAGCAGCACTGATATCTCAAGTGTGCCTTCATGGACCAGGTGAGGGTGTCACCTCTCAGTCCTGAGCCTGAGAAGGCTCAGGGCCTGGCCCTGCTCCTCAAGAAATGCCCTACAGGCCAGGCCAGGCTGCAGGCCTCTCTCAGTCCTGCACTGACAGCCATGACAAACAGTTTATTCTCTTGTTCCCATGATGAGCTGCTTGTGAGGATAGGAGGCAGTGGACAGGCCCCCTCTCCCAGCTGTGCTCCCAAAGACTACATTTCCCAGCCTCCCTGTAGCTAGGTGTGGCCTTATGACTAGGTTTTAACCAATGGGATATGTATGAGAATGAAAAGTGCAAATTTTGCTTCATGTCCTTAAAAATGAAGTTGCTTGCTTTCCCCTGTTTTGGTTCTCCATGGGAAAAGACAGTGATCCAGCTCCAACCATGAAGAAAAGAATAACACCCTAAGGGACACTGGAACCACGAGATGGGAGGATACTGGGCTTCTGGACTGGGCAGACAATTACATGAGAAATAAATGAACATCCACCTTATTTGAGACACAAAAGTTAAACACTATTGCCTAATATTCAGCTCAAAATCAAGTTGGAATCTAAGACTCCCACCATCCAGAATCTGAGGCACTTCCACATAAAAGTCCTGGATATGAGGACAGATGTGAAAGAAAATTGAAGCTATTTACCCAGTAAGTGTGAGAATAAAGACTTATTCTGGGCGGAGTGATACAATCCAGGTAGTTTTGTAACAAAGCACCAGAGAGGTCAGACTGGCCTTAGCCCCGAGCCACTTCCTCTCTCCTCAATGCCCTCGGCTATCTTCCCAGAGTGCCAGGCTGGCTGGGACCACTGCACCAAAGATGGGCTGGGAAGGGAAGGCGGGTCCTTGGCATGTAGCCAAGCGCTGGAGGGGCTGCACTTATTGGAAAGGAGGAGTCAGGAGGACTGGCCTCTTTGGGGCCAGTTGAGACAAAAGAGTACCAGCAGGGTCAGGAGTGGCCTAGGAGAGCCCCAGCTCTGGTATGGCTGCCCCACCCAGACAAAGGGAGAGACGTTTCCTCAGGGAGGCAAAGCTTTTATTACCTGATAATCCCTAGTGTGGTGACAGAGGTACCACTCTGGTCCCCTTACTCCCATGATGGATGTGGGTGGTGGGAGAAGAGGCTGCGTAGAGGGGGAGGGGAGGGATTACTTACAGAGCAGGGAGGGAATAGCGGCCTGACAGGGCCCTGGGACAACCAATTTCCTCAAGAGCTCTGAGAGCTTTGTGCTTTTTTCTTAGTTGATGCCAAGCTACCTGGAAAGGGTTTTGTGTTTCTTCTTTAGGAAAAGATGTGTAAAATACAGAACAATTCAGCCCAACTTCCAGGCAGAGAATTTCACAATATCAGTCCAAACATCACACTATTTAATTCCCCAATAAAACATTGGAAAAAGGAATATCAGTGCTATCACATTTACATATAAAATCTCCACCTAATAAGTAATAGAAGCCTATGTACCAATTTCTAAAACAGTTATAAGATATATACACAATTTTGGGTATATTAACAAACAGAATATTACAAAATATTAAAGGCAATGCTCCTGTCCACGGTCTCATCACCTTACTTGAAGTTGGCATAATCTGAGAATGCATCGATATATTCCTGCACCACCTTGTAGCAGAACTCGTACTGTTCCTGGAGAGCGAAAGGAGGGGGAAAGCAAGGGTTACTGATGAGAACATACACGCGGTTCCTGCCCGAGTTCTGACAGCATCCCCTTCTGGGTGAGGGCAGCTCATCTCCTACAGATGGAGGCGACCAGAGAAGAAGCGGTCGGATGTGTGTGTGGGTTGGTAGAGCTGGTGGGGAGATGGCTGTGTGGCCCACACCTCACTATGACGGTCAGGCTCGAGGCACCTCATTGACTCCCAAATATCTTAAAATTTACTTTCCCCATACTCAGTGGTTACTGGTCAGACTGTCAGGAGCCAGACCTCTTCACAGGGAGCCTGAGCAGAAGAGAGGAGGCACTCCTGAGTCTTCCCTTCCCCGGACTCATGGAGAAGTGTGACAAGCCCATGGGGTGCCCTGCCCAGGCCAGGCAGGGGTGCACCAGGAAGAGAGTTACTGGTGACAGGGCTATCTGCTTTCACTGCCTCCCAAGGCTTGTTCTGTCTGGGGCACCCTGGGGAAGGGAAGAACGGGTCTGCAATTACATAGGCTCTGACAACTAGGAAGAGCCTCCCCCTGAGCTGCCCTGACGAAGAAGGGCTACAGGTGGTGTGGACACACGCGGCAGCATACCAGTGTCTGGACCATGTGTGGCCTCTGCAGCCGCAGGCTCTTGACGGTTTGGAAGACATCCAGAATCCCCTCCGCTTTCA